TGTGTGTGTGTGTGGAGGGTTTATAAGTGCACATGCTGTGTGATTGTACACAGGCAGGACAGTGGGCCGCTGGAGCTCACTTTGCTCCACCTGGATGTGGTCACCCCTCCACCCTCCACCCTCCAACCCTCTTTCTATCACACTGTGGTTGGATGGGGTGTGTCATTTTCCTAACACGCCGGCTGTTTTGCCCGGGAAGCGCTTGGTGGACGGTGGGGGAGGGGGAGGCTGGTCGGTCGTAATTACATAATCTGGGATGTAGAGTGATGGGGGGTGGAGGTCTCCTGTCGCGCTGCCATGTTGCTATGGACACACGCTGTACAGAGGAGGACCAGCTAACAGTACAGTGGCTGATGCATCTGTGGTAAACATACAGAGAGCTGTGGTTGCACTCATATTGCAGCAGATAGTGATCATTTTTGAGGCGCTTTATCATGTTTTAAAAGCCGCTGTGTGTGCGTGGAGGAGGGGCAGGAAGAAGGAAGAATTCCCAGTGGATCAACCCTAAGCTTCCAGAAAGAGCTGGAGACCCACTACATGTGTGTGTGGAAAGGGGAGGGGAGGGGATGAAGGGGACGAGCCCTAGAGATGCTAGGGCAGTGGCTTCCAGGGGGGACAATATCCTCGCTGCAGTCATGTGTCACGAAACCACACAAGGATTTCATGGTTGTCTCTGGGCTGGGAAACTTCTATCAGCGTAAGGCTGATGAAACCCTTTAACAAGATGGCGGATAGCCGCAAAAATGTGCGGCGGTCGGGCTGAGAGCGAGGCTGATGGCCATTTTTGGAGCTGTCACCAAACGCTCGTATAATAAAGCAACAGACTTGAAAAAACACTGTTAATTCTATTTCAGCACGATAAAAAGACAGAGGGACGGAGGGTAGTTGAGGACACTGGGGATGTTAAGTCACTAAATCCCAAGATAAGTCCCTGTATCTTATATAATTTACTATAAAAACATCCAGAACTCACTGGTATACACTGACTTCATTTGTGGGGACAAAGTGGAGCAACAAATGATAACTGAGAGGATATTACTGTTTGACTGATGTGAGGGGAAAAAATGCTCCCCAGATGTGATTTTACAGCCAATCTCTACATGGATTCCTGTTGATTTTAGCCCTTTTGTGCCCAATTACAATCTAAAAATTTGGACAGGCTAAAGCGAACAAATGCCCACACCTTGCATTACGTATTACCCAGCTGCTGTCGGTGGAGTAGCCGCTGGCTCTCACTGATCTACCCCTGGCCGTCTAATCTTGCCTGCAGAGGCTGTAATCTCATCTGGAGCCGTGGCTGGCTAAATGTGGGGAACGCTGGCCACGCAGTTATCTAGCAGCTAGCGCTTCTGTCTGGAACATCCCGGCCTACTTTAGCCCCCCTCCTCCCCGTGCCATGACACACACACACACACACACAGACACGCTGCCTGGAAACTCTGACACAAGAGCCTGCGGTGTGTTACGTGTGCATGTTTGTTCTCCATATATCAAATAACATGGCATTTCTGGATTTCCTACCTCGGCTATTTGCACTGCTTTGTTATGTTTGCGAGATCTGAGCTTCAGTGCAGGTCTGACGTGGATGTAAATAAACTCTTTAACAGCTATGCGTGTGTTTGATCCGGCGTGCAGGGATGGAGCAACAATGGATTGGACAATCAGGCTGATCGGTAAAAAAAAAATCAGGTGTCACCTTTACGATAAAATTCCACAAATGCCTGAACAAAATGTCACGCGTAGAAAATCAGAAATGGAGCCACATGGGCGCCACACAGTCATGATGTTGGCCAAAATCTCAGCAGTGGAAAAAGTGGTATCAATGCAGCTCTTATGCAAACGTCTAAGTCTGTTTTCATCATGGATTTATCTCTATATTTGTAACAATTACTATCACATAAGACATTGTTTCCCAAAGGCTTGTGACGCTCATCACAGGTGTCAAATATCGAAGTCATGTTGTCTCATTTAAATAAATGTTTAAGGCCAAAAGAGGTCAAAATGTGAGTATTCTTCTCCAAAAAAGCAAAGATTGGAGATAAGAATTCAAATTTGTGCAACAGAGCTTTGTGTTTGTCTTCTTAACCCCTCCCATGATGCATCTCCTGAACCCCTCAGATTCACCCAGTGACCCGTAGACGGGTTGGGAACCACTGACACAGGAAAAAAACAAACTGGAACTGGAGATAATTTGGCATAAATTATTAATCGATTGATCAAATCAGTTGCATAATCATTTATTTTTCTGACTCATCGCTGCAGCTCTACTCCTCTAGAGAGGAGAAGTAGAGCTGGGTTGGGGTTTGTGTCTACAGCGAGTTAGGGATGCATGGCTGTGCAACTAGACCTCTTTCGCTCGCTGCACCCGCTAACATCGCAGCAAACACAGACAGAACAGGAAATGTAAGTAACATACGCAACGCGCTCCGGGTGGGTTTGGATCTGCCCCTCCACCACATCACGTCTGCGATGACATCATTCGCAATACTACCGACTGAATGACGTTAAGCGGAAGCGGGATTTAAGTAGATGGACACGAATGCTTTTAATCTGGCCCATGAGCTACACACACACACACACACACACACACACACTGATGGTCATACTCTGCAGCCTGTGGGCGCGGCAGATGGCGGGCTGTCATTAGCGGAGGGATGGTGAGTGGGTGGGGATGTTAAGTGTGTGTGTGTGTGTGTGTGCATGAGAGAGACATATAGCGGCATGTATTTGTTCACATGCTAGAGCGGGAAGGGAAATCGTTGTAATCAGTGTTTGCATGTGTGTGAAGATGGGGCAGGGTCGCAGGTGTTTAACCTCCCCCCTCCATTTCACCCCCTCCCCATCTCCAACACACACACACACACTCTCACACACTTGCCCCCCAGAGAGTGGCCATCTGCCACTAGCACTCAGGAGGGACTGGGAGCGTCACAGCGGGGCTCCTCTGGTCTTGGAGCCTCCTTTTAATGTTTTCACCCTCCTTCTATCCCCTGTCCTCTGCCTGATGATGAAAGGATCATGAACATAAAATGACTCAAATCAATGCACCAGCAAACTGCCTAACTGTAGTAAGAATCACCTCTCTGTGCTAATCAAGCGTCTTGAGTCGCCACGAGGAAGCATGAGTTGGTTGCCGCCGTCAGATAAAAAGGTATTAGTCAGACGAGGACGTGGAAACAGAGACGGCTGACTTGGCTAATCTGGGTCTGGTACAGAACATCCACCTGGCTGAGCTGCGGCTAGCCAGAGAGCCGCGAGGAGGAGAGAGGCTTGGGTCAGGGCAGAGGTAAACACCACCTCAGACTCACATGGGCTGGCCTGCTGACAAAACAAGATGTAAACAAACACCTGACCGCCCTGTGCCAGGCAGCAAGACGTCTTTACCTGACTCCAGGTGGAGCGCCACAAAAAACACGACTCCAAAAGCGTATGACTTCAGGGTTTTGTTGACTGGGAGCGGTGCAGTCACATGGGTGTAGGGGGGGGGCGAATGCTGAATTCTAAGGGGCAGCCGGGGATTATTGGTTTAGAGTGGCGAGAGGCAGCAGGTTTTCATTCCAGGCAAACTACATTTCACTGAGAGGGCAAACTAATCTGCACAGTCAAGGCGCGGAGGTGTTTGGCTGGAATGAAAACCTGCAGACTTTTGGGTCAGGATGGCACGAGGTCCAGGGGGGCCCCGCGTGACGTCCCGATAAACACGAAATCAAATCCGGCAGTAGGGCCCGGCGCCAAACTAACCCCCTCGCCCCGGCCCCGTAGCGCGCTTTGACCTCCTTCACTCTGCTTTTTTGCCACGCAGCAGTGGGACTGAGTGTTCAGTAAACAAGCCATCGGGCCTGCCATCCTGGGTCCCGCACTCCCAGAATGCACCTTGGTTGGAAGGGGGCCTCACCGAAGAGTTTGTTTGTTGCTTTAAAAAGCTCAAGCCCCTCCCCTGCTCTTTCTACTGAGCATACAAGGCTGTGCTCCATCTCCTCCCCCCCCCCCCCCCC